CAATTGTGAATTGTGGGGCTATAAACAATGGAGTGCAAGTGTCTCTTTTTCCTTTGGGTCAATGCCTAGCAGTGGGATTGCTGGATTAAATGGTAGTTCTACTTTTATATCTCCATACTACTTTCCATAGAGGTTGTACTGTTAATAGCTTGCAGTCCCAGCAACAGTGTATAAGAATTCCTTTCTCTCTGCACTTACACATGCATGGAAGTATGGGAGTAAAATTCAATGGAAATCAAGCAAGCAGGAGGGGGAAATCAAGCAAGGAGATGGGAAAATTCACACCTAACAGGTACGATAAACACTATCTGGGTGAAGGGCACGCCTATAACTCTGACTCAAACTGCACAAAAGCAAATTATGTAACCAAAACATGTGCACCCCCGTAATATTCTGAAATTTAAAAAAAAAAAAAAGAATGAAGATTCTGTGGCTGAAGCAGCCACCATTTGCAATCCTGGGACCACCCTGAGTGGGGGCTGGCCAGACGCAGACCCCCAGACTGTTTTTGTGGAGCCGAGACGCTGACATAGTTCTTACATTTTTAAAGTTTCCTGCACATTCATAACCTATAATTTAGTCCTTTTATCAATAAGTCACATCTTCTTTGTCCTTTTTTTCCTTTCAATTATTATTATTGTTATTTTTTTGAATGTTAATGTTGACATTCAAGCTTCCTGGAGGTCAGAATTTTGTTTGGATGTCTTTCCATCCATTTTCAGTCTTTGCAGTCATTTGTTTAGCTGTGTCTCTCAAACAGCATTTTGCCATATTTTAGTAGGTCTGGTTTTGGAGAGTTTAACTTGTTTCATATTGGAATTAAAATATTTATTTGTTTCTTCCTTCTTATTTAACTTTTCTACTTACTATACTTTCCCTTGTTTTGCTATTTTTCCCTTTTACTTTCCTTCTGTTAGATGATTGAGATTTCATTGAAGTATTTTTTTTTTTTTTTGCTTCTACCAATTTGGGAATTATACACTTTCTTTATTTTTAAATGTCTCTCAAAAGAATTAACACACATATTAAATGCTTTCCCTAAAAGACATAATTATCATCAGTATCTCCATCTTCCTAAGCAAGACAATCCGCATAGAGTTTATTTCCCTCCAAAAAACCCTCTATCCCCTTTCATTGTTACCAAAGTTTAGTTTCAGCTTGTTTTTTTCCACTTTTATTAAATAATAATGATTATGTCATGATTATTAGTTAACAGTATTTAGTTAGATTCTTCAAAATATTTATTGACTGTATTATTACTTTCATTTTTTGCATCCAATTCCTTTCTCCTGGGTTCGTTTCTTTTTTCCTAAAGTATATCCTTTAGGATTGACAAATGTGTTTGGTAAAGAGACAGATAGCAACAGTGTAAGCTTTGCAGGCCATTTGGTCTGTGTCACAGCCTCTCGGCTAATAGCATGAACGCACCATAGACAATAGGTAAGCATGTGGGCATGAGCTGCGTTCCAATAAAACTTTATTAATGGACACTGAAATTTGCATTTCATGTAACTTTCATGTGTCACAAAATTCTTCTTTTGATTTTTCCAATCATTTAAAAATGTAAAATCTATTCTTAGCCCACGGGCCATACAAAAACAGGGGTGGCTGCATTCGCCCATGGGCCATAGTTTACTGACCATGGCTCTAGGCTGTCTTGTTCTTCCAGAGAGGGTGTGTGCTCAACTTGCTGGTTTGTGTATTTTTAAGTTTCTTTATTTTATATGTCCTCACTCTTGAAAACTACCTAGATGAGTAAAGAACTCATGACAGAAAGCTGTTTTCTCTTTGAATATATGATTTAATTATTCTTCTGGCATCTACTACTACTGATGAGAAATCTGACATCAAGGTGATTTTCATTTCTTTGTAGAAAATTCAGTTTTTAAAAAATTTCCTCTGATAGCTTGTAGGATGTTCTTTTTTGTTATTATTGTTGTTATGTTTGGTGGTTTTTCTAGATGACATCAGCCAGTTCTTGGAATATACACAACATATTTTCAAATATTCCTTGTGGCTCTCCTGGGCTCTCTTTTGTTCATTCTCCTGGAAACCCTACTGGACCTAGGACACCGGGGCAGCCCACGACACAGGGCTTGCCCTCTTCCATGTCTCTCAGCTTTTCCAGCTTGTTCTGTCCTTGTATTTCTGTGGTCTTGGAGGCTTCCTCTGTCCAGTACATCTTTTAAGATACTTTCTTGATTTCCAAAAATGTATTTTTATATATAGTTATTGCTTTTCTTAACCCCGTTATTATTTCAAAACCTCTTTTCCTCCAGAGCTTTCTTTTCTCTTCTCATGGCTGCTTTTCCTCCTTATTATTTCAGGACACTAAAAAATAATTTAAACTTCTTCTCACCTTCCCTTATGTTCTCTTCTTTTCACTGGGTATATCTTTTTCCACACTGTGTTTTTGTTTGTCTCTCATGGGCTTTGTTTTCCTCCAGTGTTTTATGATTTGGGCTTGCGAGATTGTCGCTGCTCTGAGGATTCCAAGAACTCCCAGGATGAATCATCATGGCCCCTTAACACAGGTTCTACACAGTCCCATTCAGCCCCTACCCCAGGTGGTGGACTCAAGACAGTCCCTACCCTTGTGGTGGCTCCAGAGCCTGCCACATGCAGAAGGCACTGCTCAAGTCCCAGCACTAGGACTTCAGCCACACCCCTGGGTACAGACACAGAGCAGTGCAGACTCTGGAAATGGGTGGGAGCAGTAGATTTCTAGCCCCCACCACAGATTCATGGCTTAAGTGCAGTTCTTAGCCACACCTGGACTCCCAGATGTGGTCCCCAGCCCTTCCTAGGACCTGACACCCTTGGCCCATCCCTATGCATGGGCCTGCATTCCCTTCCCAGCACCCTCTTGGGCTTCAGTGATCCAGCCCCTGCTAACCATCGCAACATCCTGCTTCTCAGGAAATACGTCCATTTCTGGTGTCTGGAGATTGCCTATTTTTGCTTCTGAGCACCGCTGTGTGTTTAGCACACCTTGCTAATATTTGCCCCATCTTCCCTGTGCTTCAGGAGAAGTGGAGAAGGTTGCAGTATTTACCCAGGGCCCCATCTTAAGCTGAAACTCTCATTGCTTTGTGAATACAATAGAGTGATCATACCCATCCCTCAGGATCGCTTTAAAAACCAAGTGACATATTTGAAACTCGGACTTGGGGGGGTGGCGAGGGCAACATAAGTAACATAAATATCTGTACCCCCATAATATGCTGAAATAAAAAAAAAAAAAACCAAGTGAGATAAATGCTTTGGAAACCATAAAGTGTCTAAAATACAGCAAATAGTCATTACTCTTTTTTAAATTCCAGCAAAAACCCACAGATTCAGTCTCAATGAGAGAAATTAAGATGAATAGGGGGCAACACAGATTTCTGTGGATACCAGAGCTATGAGATGCTCCATGATAGCGGGGCTCTAGGATAAAAGAACTTCGGGAAAAATAGCAAATTGTAGCACCTTCTTGAAGATCCAAACACATATCTGTGTATTATAGGCTGCGAGAAGCCCTGTTATAAAGACAGACACTGACTGAACTTTGTCATCTTTCCAAAGCACATTGATCACGGAAGCCTTTCTAATATAGAAAGGCCTAACGCGCACGCATGAGCAAGGCAGGCTCTCGTTGAGGAATCCTGATTTTCTGAAGAGACCGAATGACAGAAGAGCCCTACATGGGGCTTTCCTAGCCGCAGGCACAGTGCAAGCACTAAACCTCACCCCACGGCCATCCCAGAGCATCACATTAAAAGACACATTGAAGTAATTACAATCCAAAATAAGCTTACTTTACTTAATAATGTGTCATAAATAGTAACTTCTTTACACTTAGGAATTAGCTGAAAAATCAGTAAGTGGAAGGCCTATTATGGAAATCTGTAATGAGACACATGTCATAGTCTCATTTTAAGTAGAATGGGCTCATATCATAGACATGAGCTTGAATATTATTTCCAACTTCCCTTAGCCTCTGTGTTATCTTCTATAAAATGAGAATGATACCAACCACGATGGCAGATTATAAACATCTGGCCACTGAGTAAATACGTGTTGCCTTTTGCTATAGCCACAGCCCCCATCCCAGGGTTGAAGAGTCTATTGAATGAGAACCACGTGATCACCCTGCAAAGTTTTAACTATTAATGCTGAAAGAAATTCTGTTTTCTAGACCCACTTTATGCCTTAAATATTAGCAATTACAGTTGATAGATCACAGAATTTTAGAGCTGGAAGGGGTCCAATAGGTCATTTAATTAAAGATTCTCAATTTGGGATAAAGAGACTGAGGTTTGAGTCCACCGGTGACTTGTCAGAGGTTGGTGGCAGGTGGCAAGCAGAACCTGTTCTTTCTGGCTCCTCACTTGGTAATTTTGCAGAACTCCCCAGTGCTTCATTTATCCAAGTTCATGCAAAAAATTTAGGGTTTAAAAAAGGCAAGAGTTTCAATACTACTCATTTTCTTGAGCATATCTTAAAACACAAAAGAGGGGATGAATCTCATTGTGCCTTCATTTTCATCACATTGCTTCTTCCAATTTCTACAAATAAACAAGAGCTCTGCAGTATTTTGAACGGCCAGAACACAGTTTGTTCCATGCCCAATGCCACTGCCATTTGACTGGACTCTCACCTGGAAGGCTGGGCCAGGAGTTGCCCACACTATTCCCAAGGGGGGCCAACACTTGGGGTGTGTTTCCGTCACGTGGAAGGCAATCGGCAGAACCTGCCACGTGTGCACGGGAGATGCCTCTGCGTATTTTTACACGGTTTGTAAAAGAGAGACAGCCAAAATATTTTTACACGCACAGCAGGAACTGTTTCATGTTGGAGTGTTGGAAAGAAAAAGAAGAAAAAGAAAAGAGAGGGAAGAGAAGATTTAAGACCGGCTCACAGATTGAAATGATTAATGCCTTCTCGGGGCTGGAGAGCAAGCGCTCTGGGCTCAAAACGCTCCCTTGGCCTCCGCGTCTCTGAATGTCGCCTTGCAGATGCCAGGATCCCATGTCATAGGCCTCCGCCACCAGCTGGGTGTGAACCCTGGAGACCAGGTAGGGCTCAAACGCAAGAGGAGACCAGGAAGACCATTTCAACCAAGGCAGGGTGAGAGCAAAGCCAGGATGGGTGGGAAGTCACGTGGAAAGTCACACGAATGAGGTTGGAAAGGAAACTGGGGCCCAGTTGGGAACAGCCCCCAAAGCAGGCCCCAGGGTGTGGACACTGCTCCAGGGACAAAAGAGTTACAATGAAATTTCATGCTTGGAATAGCTCTTTGCAGTTTGGAGCGCATTTTCACACCTCGAAGTCAGCGGCCCCAAACAACCACATGTTTAGCTCATGGAGACAGGACAAGACCTTGGGCAGGGTGGGGATGGGGCCCTTGGTGCTGGGTGGGAAGGTCAGTTTGAAGAATGGTCTAGACCAGGCCTTACCAATTGGTATCAGTCAAGGCTTTTGTGGTCTTTGTTGCATATTCTTCTTTGTTTTTTATTTGGTTGGTTGGTTTTTACCACCCTTTACGAATATATTCTTAGCCCAAGGGCTATAAAAATAGGCTAAGAGCTGGAATGGACCACTGGCTACAGTTTGCTGACCACTGGCCTCGAGCCTGGATGCAGGGAGCCTTTCAGAAGATGCAGAACCAGCCCAGGTGAAGCACGGGGAGGGCCTGGGCTGGGAGGGAGGAGAAAGACTGAGAGCCCAACCCACAGAGGCAGGGATGGGGCAGTGACGTTCATCAGGAAATTGACCCCAAGAAGCGCCAGGCTGCTGCACTGCACCTGGAATAGGCCAGTGCCCCAGCGCCAGCCTCCCACCGAGCAGCCCCTGCACACCTTTCTTAACCAGGGTGTGGAGGCGAGATCTGAAGGTGGCTGGGCAGCAGTGGGAACTGGCACAGAACCATTTCCCGTAGGCTTGGTGCATCGGCAAGAGCCCAGGGCAAGGCTGGTGGACACAAGAGGAAACCTCCAGGCCCCATACGCCTCCACAAGGCCGACATTCACTCTCCCATCAGTGGGCCACCATGGGGAGGGGAGACATGCAGTGAAGCTCCAAGCATAGGCAGAGCATGAGACGTACCTAGCAGGTAGCACACCCTGACACAGCATGGCCAGGTGTGCGCTCAGTGTTTTCCATGCACTTCCTTGCTTCATTTCCCACCATATCCCCATGTGGGACTGACTCTAACCACCCCTACTCCGGGCCACGTAAGTTAACTACAGCTTAGACACACAACCACAGAGGTAGATAGTGACAGCGACTCACTGAATCTGCCATCCCATAACCATTTCCCAACAGCGGGCCCTCAGACAACAGGCTTGCTTTGCTCAGCCTCAGTTTCCCTACCTGTAAAATGAAGATCATAATTGTAACATGAGGGAAAAGGGAAGAGTCAACCCGATACTCAGACCAGCGCCAGCACCAGGTACATGATCAGTGTTTGCAGCGGCGTTGTTGCAACCACGCGGCTAGCAAGGGGCAGAGACAAGATCCAGATTCTGACAGATCACTAGGCGGTCATAGTAAAAAAAAAAATGACAATTCTGAGTTTCTAGATTTCCTCTTCTGGAAAATGAAGGTGAATATCCTTTCAGTCTTTGAAATAGGATGAAATGAAATAAGTGTTTGTTAAGTATATTTTACCATAGCAAGGAGTGTTTCTGCCTGGTTCGAGCATGATAATAACACATACCTGAGAGCAGGAGAGAGGTCACAGACAGAGAACTGGCCAGTGTGGACGCCAGAGGATGATGTGCATCTGGCAGAGAGGAAGACGGGGAGAGGGAGGAGGTCCTCGGGAGGCTTCCCAACGCCCAGCACCTTCCTGCATTTCAGTCCCACTCCAGGTGAGTGTACTACCTGTTCTCGTGCAAAAGAGAAATCTGAATTCCAGAGAAGTGAAGAAATTTCTCCAGGGTCATGTAATCACCAAATGATGTCTGATTTGACAATCCCTGCTCTTTGTGCCACACCATGATTTAGGCAGCTGTTCAGAAAAACGGAAGAAGAGGTGTCAGCAGTGGAAACACCCTTGAAGGCGGTCAGATTTCATAGGTAAACACTAGCCTTCCCCGTTCGCCGCTCCCATCCCCACCACTTTGGATAAGGGGGTTCATTGTCAGCAAGGCTCATGCATGTGTCAGAAGAGTGCCCGAGCACAGTAATCTAAGTGGCAGACCCCCAGGATAGAAAGGAGGGAGGCTGCTCATGCTGACAGTTGGAGAAAATTCTCCGCATTCTGTGAAATATGTGCTTGTCAAGGGAGGGTGAGACGGCTGGAAACCACAGCCAGGCTGTCACAGCAGCAAACCTGAGCAGGGAGGAGCTTCCCAGGACATTCTGAGGGCTCGTGCCTTGTCCACACGTCCCCTCCTGTGGCCTCCCTGTCCTTCGACCCAGCCACATCGAGAGTAGAAATCCTCCCCTATTCCATAAGCCAGGCACTCGCAGTGACAGTCCTCCGGCTTTCTGTGCTTATGAATCATTTGTGGCACTTGTTAAAATATAAATTCCAAGACCCTCACAGGAATTCTGATTAAGCCCGAAGATTTCCAGGAATTTGCAATTTTCTCCAGCTTGCTGTCCAGGTGATCTGGGGCACACACAAAGACACATTGGCCCAGGGCTCCGTTGCGTCCTGCAACTAATTAAACAATTGCAGGTGCCCAAAGAGCTCAGAAGAAGGGCCAGGGATCATGCAGAGCATAGAACAGGGGATATATTCAGGGTCAGAAGTCAAGGAAGCATCTACGAGAAGGTCGCATTTCAGGTGAGACCTGAGCCAGGGGATTGGAAACAGTCAGAGAAGAGACTTCCAGGCGGAGGAGACTGTGTCAAGCGTAGGTTTGGAGGCCGAGGAGATCACAGCGTGTTGGAGAACCTGAAAGAATTTCAACAATCTACATAGCATGGAAAGGGAGGGAGGAAGAGGCTGGAGACGTACCAAGGACGCAGGCAGGAGTCTGAGTGGGCAGCACCTCGTGCACCGTATGAAGACGTCGTATTTTATGCCAAGGCCCATGGGAAGCCACAAGACTTTTAAGCAGGGCATCGCATGGCCAGACATGTATATTTAGTTATCCTCGCTGCCCTGTGGGAGGTGGCTGGGGCAACATAGGGTTCCAGTGAGAGGCTGTCAGCCAGAGCCAACCAGGTGATAGATGAGAGTGGTTTTAAATAGGAAGAGGGCAGTAGAATGGAGAAAGAAGAAAAGCAGATGTGAAAAGTACTCAGGAAGGGAAATCCACAGGCAGGGTGGAGGCTTGGACGCAGGAGAGGAAAGTGTCAACATGGACTCTCAGATACTTAACCTGGGCAACCAGGAGGTCTTTGGTGACATTTACCCGGATGAGGGGCACAGGAGGAGGAGCAGGCACGAGCTCCACCAGGTCCAGGTAGGGACCTGTTCTGCCTCCCAGTGTTGCCTCCCTCAGCATCCTGCACACAGCCCTGCATATGTCAGAGGCTGGAAATAGCTTCAGAGACAGTGAGTAAGGATGGAGATGTACGTCTGGGAAATGTTGAGTCTGAGACCCCTGTGAGACTCCTAGTGGAAATGTCAGGTGGAAGAGCGACCTAGACATAGGCACCTGGAATTACAGCAGAGAGGGCTGGGGAGAGAGATCCTGCCACTTGGGGTCATTGGGGTAGGTAGCTAGTACCTGAAACCATGGATGCATTGCAGATAACTAGGGAGTGTAGACTGGAGAGAGCAAAGAAGAGAGGAGGAGAGAGCACAGCCTTGGGGAGAGTCTTGTTGGGGGGGTGGTGTTGGATGGGAACAAACGGTGAACAAACCCAAGCTCAAGGTGAGACCAGATCTTCAGCCCAAAGGAAGCCCAGGTATCAGAACTGGATCCCCTACCAAGATGAACTACACAAAAGCTTCCACTGGGCTTTGCTTCTGGAGGAAGCTATTATTTATTATAGAGCATCATCTACGTTCTCCCCTAAATTTGAAAGGACTAAGGGAAATTTACAGGGGACCTACACGGCGCCAGGCACCTTATAAATGTTACGCATAAATGAAATGGTATCAATTGCTTCCCATGTGCAAGGCGACCGTGCTCAGCATTTCACATTATCTCATTCAATCCTAGCAACAGTCCTGCGTGGTGGATATTAGAATCCTCACTTTTCCATAAGGATGCTAAATGCCAGAGCATTTAAGAGACTCACCCAAGCTCACACAGCCAAGAGGTGGACCCTGGATTCAAACCTACTTCCCTAGAATCTTCCCCACGTGCCTGTCTGTGCAAATGTCTGTAATAACAGAAAAGGGCAGACTCCTAGTGAGTACAGACTGGAGATAGAGAAAAGTAACCATGCAAAGTCAAAACATTTCGTGTTCCTTTGTGGCTGAATAAATGGAGCCTTTGAAAGCCCAGCCCTTCCTCCTGCAGGCTGGTAAGAGCGGCCCTGGCGGGACCCCAGGGGCTCCCTTCCCTCCTCTCCACTGAGATCTGCATAATCCCTCCTCTGCTACCTGAGCATTCTCCCTGCCTGATTTATGGGTGTGTTTGTTGTGCTTAGAGCATAAATCTCCACCCCCAGGACATTTCAGTTCTGGTATTTATTGACCAAAGACAACTTGTGTTAAAAAAAGTTTTGAGATTTTGCCAGATAATCACTGCAGAATATTTGAGAAAACATGGTGTCCTCTGGTAAATGAAATTCTGCAAGTAGTTGATTTCGCTACTGGGGCAAATACCTTCCTTGCTACTATTTTATGGCTTTTTTTTTTAGGGAGTTTGTTTTGTTTTAATGAAAGAGGCAGATTCTTCCTATGCGTCTCTTTATCACCTCACCAGTCCATCAAGGGAAAACCGAGAAGAGGAATTGTCAAAAGACATTTCCCTCGGGGCCTAGGAAAGCTGTTGATTCTTTTGAACCAGAACTTTTGGCCAAATGTGTCTCAAAAGCATTCAGGTGGCAAAACACCTGGGGAAGGACTGTGACACACAGATGCCTCGGTGTAAAAAACCAAAGATACAAACGTGAGCTAAATCTGATACCGATGCCAGATTCTAGTATAGACAAGCTTAAGACTTTAAAGAACATTATTGGAGAAAAAGTCAAGAAAACTCTCATCAATTAGCTTTGCTTAGAGTAAGCACATGTGTGTCCTTGTGCATGACTGCGTGCATTTGAAAAATACCGTCAACCGTCAATATTAAGGATAGACCACTTATTCAGTTTAAAGAAAAATGGTGTTCCTTGCTGGAACACAGATGGGAAACCATTGTTTTAGATAAAGGTTCCAAACATTCTCAAGTCTACACAGCTCAAGAAAGTCAGAGAACAGAGGTTGGCATAAGAACTCATAGAAACCATCAAGAGTCACCCCAGGACTCTGACAACCTGGAAAGCAAGTGTCTCTTTTGAAGAAGACAGTCATTCCTCAGGTCCAGGGGCTACAGCCCTGTTGGAACATGGACCCAAGATTTCTCAGATCCGCTGATCTCCCAGCAGAAGCTGAAAATCCTGATTTTTAAGGTGGTGAATCCAAGTTTTAAATATCTATTGATAATTAAGAAAAAAAAAAAAAAAAAACAGTGTGAGGACCAAGCAAAACACATCTGCAAGCCAGACCTGACAAGGGCTGCCTGCTGTGGCTATGGCCAAGGTTAGACTTTTACGGTGACTTCAGAAATGTGGGATATTGTTAACAATTGCTGCTCCGTGGAGGAAGACATTGGTCCTTGATTTTCTATAATTATTCAGGTTGACTGTGGTTGGGCTCGGATGTCTGATGCTTTAAGAAACCTAAAGAGGCTGGCAGGAGCTGAGCCTCAGCCACTGTCCCTGCCCCTGGCTGAGGCCCTGGCCCATTCCTTCTCCTGATATTCTGGACGTGGGACTGGTCCCAGGGGCTGGCCCTGCCCTTTTCTCCATTTGGCTGTTGGCTTTGATGTCTGCTGGTGATAATAACAATAATAATGACGGCAGCAGTTTTATTGGCCACCCATCACCTGACAGTTGTAGTGTTCAGTTCTTTACCCCATCATCCCATCCCATCTTCTCTTCGAGGTCAATACTGTGGTCACCTTCATTTTGCAGATCGGAAGCTGAGGAGATTAAGACACACACCCAGGACCACTCACCTGGTAAGTGGCAGATCCACCATCCAAGCCCAGCTTTGTCTCTCTTCTGAGCCCATGCCCATGTGCTGCCACCCACCTGCTCTGTGCACAGCTGTGCTCTCCTGAGCCACTTCCCACTGCACCTGCCTGGGCTCCCCCATTCTCCTGCAGCCCCCCCTGGCCTCTGTGCACTTTGGTCTCCAACCTCAAGGCTCCCCCTGTTCTTGGCTCTGGGTTTTCTATCCCAGCATTGACAGCTTGCATCAGCCTCCCCTTGATGGGTGTAAGTGAGGTGTCCTCCATCTCTACGTGATATGTCCCCACAGGGGGACAGAGGATACATCCCTTGGATTGTTTCCAGAGTTCACAGTGACGCTTCTGATCAGTTGTATGCAGTTTTCTACCAACTACCTCCCAAGCAGTAAAAGTTTAACTTTAGGAGCCAGATTTACACAATTCTCTGTCCCACACCTCCACTCTGCTCTCTCTCCAAACCCTGTGGATTCATCCTGCAAGTCTCTGATCCTGTCGGCTCCTCCGCATCGTCACTGCCATGTCGGCAGCCCCAGCTCATGGCACCTCCAAGCCTTCCATCTTGTCCCTGCTCATCTGATCTTAATCACTTCTAGCACATTCTCCACAATGCAGCCAGCGCAACCATTGGGGGCTGATGGTGACTCGGCTCTGCTCCCTACTGGTCCTCAACACGGCCCCCCCACTCACTAACTCCTGCCTACCTCTCTTGGCTCATTTACATTTCAGTTCAAAGACCACTTCCTTCACCGCAAAACTATACAACTCAGGACCTCTTTATTGCATACTATTAAATTTCCCAGACTTACCCTTCGTAGCATCTATCACCATTTTAATTACATAACTGATTGCTTAACTGGGATAATGTCCATCTCCCCTGCAAGGATTTAGGTTTCACAGGGAAAAGGATGGAGGTGTTTCCTCTCAGATCCTCCGCGTCTAC